AGACTGAATCGCGTCGAGAAAATGTAGACTGAATTCCGTTAAAAAAAAAAGTCAAAAGAAAAAGAAAAAAGAAAGAAAGAAATATATATATTGAATCGCATTAAGAAAATGTAGACTGAATCCCGTTAAGAAAATATTGACTGAATCAAATCAAGAAAACGTAATTAAATCGCGATAAAAAAAAATAAGATGAAAAAAAAAATTAATTAAATCATATCACGTCACCGGAGAGAGAGAGATGAGCGACATGACACAGCAGACGTGACTCGGCCGGACGCGACGGGCCGGTTCTCTCTCTGTCTCTCTGTCTCTCTCTCCTCTCTCTCTCTCTCTCTCTTTCTCTCTCTTCTCTCTCTCTCTCTCTCTCTCTCTCTCTCTCTCTCTCTCTCTCTCTCTCTCTCTCTCTCTCTCTCTCTCTCTCTCTCTCTCTCTCTCTCTCTGTCTCTCCTCTCTCTCTCTCTCTCTCTCTCTCTCTCTCTCTCTCTCTCTCTCTCTCTCTCTCTCTCTCTCTCTCTCTCTCTCTCTCTCTCTCTCTCTCTCTCTCTCTCTCTCTCTCTCTCTCTCTCCTCCTGCTCAGCCGGACACGCTCCCTAATCCGGATTTATGAGCGTCACGAAGAAGACACTCGTTCTCCTGCCTCGCTCGTTACAGGAGCCCCTCGTCTCCTTCTTGTTTTTTTGTTATTTCGTTTCATCTTATTCTGTTATTTCGTTTCTTGTTTCGTTTCGTTTGTATTTCGTTTTTTTTTTGTTCGGTTATTTATTTTCTTATTGTGTTTTCGTTTCTTGTTTGTTCGTTTGATATTTCGTTTTTTTGTTTTGTTTCTTATTTTGTTATTTCGTTTCTTATTTGTTTGTTTCTTTTTTTTCTTTGTTTTTTTTTAATTTGTTATTTTGTTTCTTATTTCGTTATTTCGTTTTTTATTTTGTTTTAATTTGTTATAGTTTATTTCGTTATTTTTTTATTTTGTTATTTTGTTGTTATTTCGTTTCTTATTTCGTTTCTTATTTGGTTTATTTTGTTATTTCGTTTCTTATTTTGTTATCCGGTATTTCTTCTCTTCCCTGTTTTCTTGTCTTGTGGTTTCCTCTTCGGGGCATCTTGTTAGCGGGTGTTTCTCTCTTCCTTCCTTTCTTGTTTTTGTTTCTTCTCATCTTTGTTAGCGGGTGTTCTCCCTCTCTTCCTTGTTTCACTCGCCGATGTCCTTCACTGTTTTTTTTTTCTTCTTTTCGTTATCTGATTTTCTTTTCCATCTCCTCTTGTTATTAAGCGTTCTTTCCCCTTTTCCTTCGCTTAACTTACACGCAGGAATAAGGATAAGGAAAGAATCCTAAAGAAAATAGGACACGGAACAGACGAAAAGAAAGAAAAGAAACGCAGAGGAATTTGGAACTAAAAGAAAAGAAAGAAAAAAAAAGAAGAAAAAAACAAAAAAAATGACGAAAAGGAAGAAAAGAAGCGCAGAGAATAGAACGCAGAAGAAAAAAACGCAGAGGAATTAGAAACTAAAAAAAAAAAGAAAGAGAAAAAAAAAAAAACAAAGGAAAAAGTAAACAAAAATCGGAGTTCCGTGCCACCGCATAAAAACACCTGAAATACACTGTTATGGCGGGTCGCAAAAAAAAAAAAAAAAAAAAAAAAATGAAAAGGCATCGCGCACTTGACACCAGCGAGCCTCACCTATTGCACTATAAGATGTGTGACTCCCCTCCCTGACGAGTATTCGAACCCACTCTCTCTGGTTCGGAGCTAGAGTGAATGGGTTCGAATCCTTGATAGCAACGGTAATGACACGTATATCGAATCCTTGACAGCATTGGTTATGGCGCTTATACTTTATATGTGGATTTGTTTACTTGGGGTATTGGATTTTGAGAAAAAACAAAAATAATAATGATAGTAATGAATAATAATAATAATAATGATAATAATAATAATAGATAGAAATAAATAAATGAATAATAATAACTATATTCAGAAGCAAGCGGGTGGGATTTAATCGTATATCTTATAGAAGGAAAGGAATCAGCTGAACGATGCAAAATAATAGAAGATGTGAGAGATTTGAATAGAATCAGTCCTGGAATAGATAAAAGATGGAAAAGATTTAGAGATTAGGAAAGAATCATTCCTTGAATAGACAAAATCGGAAGAGATTAGGGATTAGGGAAGTGCCGAGAGAGAGACAGAGACAGAGACAGACATAGAAATTGAGACAGAGAGAGAGAGAAAACAGACAGACATAGATTGAGAGAAGACAGACAGACAGAGCAGAGAGATTGAGAGAGAGACAGAGACAGACAGACATAGAAATTGAGACAAAGAGAGAGAGACAAACAGACAAACATAGAAATTGAGACAGACAGAGAGACAAACAAACAGACAGAGAACGTTAGTCACAGCGCCCGCCCTCGTGCTGCCATCTAGGAGCAGAACTAAGCGAGTGTCATTTTCAGCGCCATTAAGCCAGAGATTTTCACACGACAGTCACGGGGGGGGGGGGGGGGTTGTGGTCCGCCGTCGCCCCCGTGGGAGCCTCCGATGGCGCTGACCACATAAACAAACTTCGTAATATTATTATTTTGTCGATTTGCATATTATCGCTGAATTGGAGGAGGTCTTGAGTTGAATTTATTTGCTCGGAAAAAAATATAGAGTTCTTGTGTTTTCGTTTGTTCGATTTTGTTTTCACGCTTTGTGTATTATGTTAACGTGTTTGGGAACGTTTGCTGTTTTGATTGTCGAAAGAAAAAAATGTGAAAATATTGGAAAGTGCAAGATTTTTTTCTCAGTCTTGCTTTATCACAACCAACAAAATGCAAGAGTTTGAGCGGCTTTAGAGTGCAGGGTCATTGTTAACTTTTATTTGTTTATTTGTTATGGAAGAATATGTATTTTATTTTACTATGGCATACAATATAATATAATGTGATGATAAAATCTCTCTCTCTCTCTCTCTCTCTCTCTCTCTCTCTCTCTCTCTCTCTCTCTCTCTCTCTCTCTCTCTCTCTCTCTCTCTCTCTCTCTCTCTCTCTCTCTCTCTCTCTCTCTCTCTCTCTCTCTCTCTCTCTCTCTCTCTCTCTCTCTCTCTCTCTCTCTCTCTCTCTCTCTCTCTCTCTCTCTTCTGTATATATATATATATATATATATATATATATATATATAATATATATATATATATGCATGTATGTATGTATGTGACTATACACATGCGGAAATAACACAGAAATGTATTTCCGGAATAGCAATCCCACTCGCGTGCCGCCGGCTCCCTGGCGCTGCCGCAGAGCCCGCCTTCCTCTGCGCTCTTCCTGAAGACCTGAGGCACGGCTCGGGAAATCGCGTTCACGAAATGTGTCAGCGGCGGCACGAATGCGTAGGAGGCGCACGAATTCGACACGCGACTCCTCTGCGCACATACGCACGCGCGCGCACATACCCTGCACGCATGTATAATTTTTCTCCTAATGTTTTGATCCGCTCTCTACACAGCATGCACGTGCATACCTGACATCAGGGAGAAAACGCGTAGATGGGCAAGAACTGTATCCGAACGCACGCCCAGGCACACGCGCCCACACGCCCACACGCCCGCTCGGCTCCGAGAACTTTCCCCGGACAGGTGTTGGGGAGGGGGGGAGGGGGCTGGGGCGTGGAACATCGAGGTTAATAAGAACAAGAGATAGAAGCTCTTAGCATGAAGACTTTCCTCCTCTCTCCCTCCTTCGTCACTCCCTCTTTTTTCTTTCTTTCTTCTCACTCCTTAAAAGTACTTTACGAGCTCCGTTGCAAGGAGGTGGTCGTTGTAAATGGGTCGTGACACCTGGCTACTGCTGTTGCAAGGCGCGTGTTCCCAGGGCGAGGAAGCTCTTAGTCCCTCGCACCGCTGTCGCATCTGTGGGTGCGGGCTTTTATGCAGGGTTTTAAGGCACCACTTGTGTGTGTATATTATATATATATATATATATATATATATATATATATATATATATATATATATATATATATATATATATGCCATGTCGTTTCAGAAAGTGCAATGATGATTTTTGTTGTTTGTTTAACCTTTCTGTGGCCTTTTACACTCCACTTGTATTTATCTGTATGCAACGTATCGTTTCAGAAAGTGCAATTATTATTATTTTTTCTTTCTTTTTTTTGTCAGCCTTTCTGTGCCTTTCTCTCTAATTGTATTTTTTCTGTATGTGACATGACGTTTTTTTCTCTATGCGAAATGTTTCAGAAAGTGCAATGATTCTTTTTTTTTTCTCTCTTTTCTGTCAGCCTTTCTATGGCCTTTCACACTCCACTTGTATGTATCTGTATGCGACATGTCGTTTCAGAAAGTGCAGTGATGAGTGTTTTCTTTCTCTTTTTGTCAGCCCTTCTGTTGTCTTTCACACTTCACTTTTATTTTTCTCTATGTGACATGTCATTTCAGGAAGTGAAAGGATGAGTTTGTTTATTTGTTTGTTTTTATCAGGCCTTCTGTGGCCTTTCGCACTTAATTTGTATTTTTCTGTATGCGACATGTAGTTTCCGAAAGTGCAATGATGTTTTTTTTTTCTTCCTTTTCTTTCTTTTCTTTTCTTTCTGCCTTTCTTTCTTTTCTTTCTCTCTTCGTTTCTCTTTCTCTCTCTTCCTTTCTTTTCTTTTCTTTCTTTTTTTCCTTTCCTTTCCTTTCTTTTCTTTCTTTCTTTCTTTCTCTCTTTCTCTTTTGTCAGCCCTTCTGTGACCTCTCACACTCCACTTGTATTTTTTTCTGTATGTGACATGTCGTTTCGGAAAGTACCTTTCTTTTCCTTTTTTTCTTTTTTTATTCTCTTTCTTTCTTTTTTGTGGCGTCTCACACTCCACTTGTATTTTTTTTCTCTGTCTTTCCGAAAGTACAATGATGTTTTTTTCTCTTTCTTTCTTCCTTTTTCTTCCTTTCCTTTCCTTATTTCCGAGTTCAAGGACGAATCATACATCGTTTTTTATTTTTTTCTCTTTTCCTGCAGATTCCCGTTGCTTCCTGACGCAGGGAGGATCCGTGGAGAACTTCTTCGTCCGGGAGAGTCTTCCCGTGGGCAGTACCATCGGTAAGTGTGTGCTCATCTACTCTCTTTATCTTCGTTCTCTTTGACCGGGTCTTCGTTTATCTTGCTCTTGTCTTAGTTTATAGTTGTCTTTTTTTTGTCTTTGTTTTTGTTATTGTGTTCATTCTTGTTTCTGTCTTTGTCGTGATCTTTGTCTCTGTTCCGATCTTTATTGTTGTCTTCATCTCTGTCTCCATCTTTATCATTGTCTTCATCATCTATCATTGTCTTGTTCTTCTGATGTCTTATCGTGATCTTCATCTCAATCCCCCATCTTTATCATGATCTTCATCTCTGTCCCATCTTTATCATTGTCTTCATCTCATCCCCATCTTTATCATTATCTTCATCTCCATCCCCATCTTTATCATTCGCCCGCTGTCTCCCATTTCCCTTCCTAGCAGTATGGTTCAACGTCTATTTAATTAGTCCTTGGTATGGTGAGGGTCATCTACCTCCGATCACGTGACTTCGGATTTGGTCGCCTTGTCCCATTTCTTGAGGAGATCGTAGTGGTCACTGTATTGGTGTGATTATTATATTACAGTTATGTGTACCATCTGTGCCCATATGTCAGTGTAACATGTGTCACTTGTAAGACTTGCATCAAAGACTATATAATCTTTCTCCTTCTTCTTCCTTCTTTTTTTAATTCTTCTTCCTTCTTCTTCTTCTTCTTCCTTTTTTTCCCTTCTTCTCCTTTTTTTCTTCTCCTTTTCTTCATCTTCTTTTCTTCCTTCTTTTTCTTCATCTTCTTTTCTCTTCATCTCCTGTCCAATCTTATAGTCATGGTCCCTCGGACATTCCATGCAGGCACCAACTCCCCTCAGCCAATCAGAGAGAGACAGACAGCTGAGCCCGAGGTACACATACACTGTAATTAATACTCACGTCTTTACAGTCACCATAACACAGTCGCGTGATGGTGCTGCCCTCTCGGCGCTGCACTGTCATGGTGTCCGGGGCGCTTATTGAAAAATCGTGCGGTGGGGCCGTGTGCAATTTTGCGGCCCGGGGAAGATACAATAAAGTGAATTATGCAGTGTGATGTTTTACTCACGCTCGGCTCTCAGTTTTTTTTTTTCCCGCGCATTTTTTTTTCGGACACGTGTCTGGATTTTCTTGTTTTGGGGATAGAGTGTCAGAAAGATTAATATTGCTTTGTTTTTTTTTTCTTCCAACATCAAAATACCTTTGTATTTTTTTTTCTTCTTTACCTTTTTTTTCTTTCTTCTTCTTTCTCCTCCCTTCTTCTTTTTCTTCATCTTTTTCCTCCTCCTCCTCTTCTTCTTTTTTCGTCTTCTTCTTCTTCTTCTCTTTCTCCTTTTTCTTCTTCATTACTTCTTACTTAATGGCTTTTACTGTATCAATGATATTCGCAATTAATCTTTGTCTTCTCTTCGCATTTAAGCCTAACGTAAAGGGGGGGAGAGCCTCCAGACCTTGAAAACCGTTTTTTTGCTCTTAAGGGAAAGAATACCCCTTTCATCGAGTAGAAAATGACCTTTAGAGCTTCTCTTTTCCTTCTCAAACGGCGCATTCATCTCCGGCCAACGTTTAATTGACTCCCTTCAATACCTTGATATTATCATCGGCAGCTTCTTCCTTTCATCCTTCTCTCCCTTCTTCTCTCCCTTCTCTCTACGTCTCCCTTGTCCTTTTTTTTTTTTTTTTTATTTGTCTCTTTGGTTCTCTGTTTCCTAGGTTCTTCTTCCCTTCCTTAAGTTTCGTTTTCTTTTTTTCATTTTCTCTCTCTCTTCCTTTCTTTCCCCTCATTCTCCTTCCTTCTTCCTCCCTCCAATCCCTCTATCTCCCTTCCTTCCTTCCTTCTCTTCTTTTTAGCCCTCTCCTTTTCTTGTCTTCACCCCTTCTACATTCCCTTCCTTCCATACCTCCTTTCAACTCCATCCTATCCGTTTTTTTCTTCATATCTATCCCCTTCCTCTTCCCCCCCCCCCCTATCCTCTCTCTCTCTCTCTTCTCTCTCTCTCTCTCTTCTCTCTCTCTCTCTCTCTCTCTCTCTCTCTCTCTCTCTCTCTCTCTCTCTCTCTCTCTCTCTCTCCATTCTCTCTCTTTCTTTCTTGCGTCCTCTTCTCTTTTCCTCTATCCTTCTTTCTTCCCCTTTTCCCATACCCTTCCCTCTACCCCTTGTTTTCCGATCTATCTCTCTTCTTTCGATATATTTCTCTTCCTTCCCTCCTTCCCTCTCCCTAACTTCACTCCCCTTCCCTTCCCTCCTTCCTCTCCATCGCCCTCCTTTCCTTTCATGCTTCCCCTTCCTCCCCTCCTCCTATCTCCACCCTCTTTTCCGACTCCTTCCATCTTCCTCCTTCCCCTCCTTCCCGCCCTCCTCTTCCTTCTCTTCCTTCCCTTCCTCCTTCTCCCTGCTTTCCCCTTCCTCCCTCCATCCCCCCCCCCCCCTCCAATTCCCCCGCCAGATAAAAGAGTCCCCTCAATGTTACCCATTTTCTATAATTCATCCCGTTTTCCTCCTTCTCCCTCCAGGAACGCTCCGGCTCGAGGGCGACGCCAGCGCCAACGGAGACATCTACCTCAGACTCAAGGAGAAGAATTCGCCCGTTCAGATCTCAGACAACTCCAAGAACCTCACGCTCACGAAGAAACTCGATAAAGAGGTAAGTGTGTGTGTACGGGAGTGTGTGTTTGTTTGTGTGTGTGTGGTGTTTGTGTGTGTGTGTGTGTGTGTGTGTGTGTGTGTGTGTGTGTGTGTGTGTGTGTGTGTGTGTGTGTGTGTGTGTGTGTGTGTGTGTGTGTGTGTGATGTGTGTGGTGTGTTGTGTGTATGTGTATGCGTGTGTGTGTGTATGTGTCTGTGTGCGTGTGTGTGCGTGTCCAAGCCTGTATTAGAGAGCGCGCACGTTTGTATATATTTGTACCCCCGAGAAACCGACATACTCACTCACATGCCTTTATGTTCGTATCCACTTTGCACAACCACCATCAGGCTCTCGGTATTTTGTTCTTTATTTGCTCCGAGCTCCACCCATACCTCCTCCGCATTGCGCCAGTGAAATAAATAAAAAAATATATAATATATAGCCTGATCGCTTATTGATTTAAACCCTTAGGAATTGCCAAACTAAATTTTTTCTCAACTGTTTTCCTCAGGGCAAAGATGGCGAAGCTCACGTCATCGTCAACGTCATTTGTGATCGCAGGGGGGCCACGGACCCGGTGAGTAGACGGCGAGTAGACATTTGTCGTGGCTGTCTGGGTCTTTCTCTCGGTCTGTCTGTCTGTCTGTCTGTCTCTTGTGATTTTAGGTGTTGTAAAGCAATTCTCTGTCTATCCGTTTTTTCTCTGTCTGTCTGTCTGTCTGTCTCTTCTTCTCTCTCTCTCTCTCTCTTCTCTCTCTCTCTCTCTCTCTCTCTCTCTCTCTCTCTCTCTCTCTCTCTCTCTCTCTCTCTCTCTCTCTCTCTCTCTCTCTTCTCTCTCTCTCTCTCTCTCTCTCTCTCTCTCTCTCTCTCTCTCTCTCCTCTCCCCTCTCTCTCTCTCCCTCCCCTCCCCCTCCCTCTCTCCTCTTCCTCCCTCCCCCCTCTTCCCCCTCTCCTCCCTCCCCTCCCCCTTCCTCCCTCTCCCTCCCTCCCCAAACCAGGTACAAAGTCCTTTAATAACAATATGCATTAATAATTTAAACAGCCCGTCATTTCGTATCTGTACAGGAAACATCTATTTTCATGTATTTTCTCACACTAAAAAGGTGTCTCAATAGTAACGTTATGTGGTTAGTCGATGTTAGAAAGTTTTTTTTTTTTATGAGTGAAAATTTCTTCTGTGATTCGTCAGTTGCGAGTCAAACGGATTTCTGTGATGTTGGATCCTGTCGATTTGCAAACTAATTCCCAAGGTGATTAAGATATATTCATATATTCATACAGCTTATATACTTACATACTGACATACATATATATATATATATATATATATATATATATATATACATACATATATATATATACATACACATATATATACATACACATACATACACACACACACACACACACACACACACACACACACACACACACACACACACACACATTATATATATATATATATATATATATATATATATATATATATATATATATATATATTATATATATATAATATATATATATAGTTATATTATTATTATGTATATATATATTATATATATATATATATATATATATACTAGTTATTTACATGTATTTATATATTACATACAGATATATTTATATATTTCCAATATATTGTTATGTATAGACCGTACTACTGTCATCCATTATAGTGGAGTAGAGTGAAGAACCCCCCCCCCCCCGGCCCCCTCACCCGCCGCCGCCCAAGTGTGGCATTCCCGCCCTTCTCACAATGCTCCGCCCGTCTTGATTACACTAATTACCCCCCGCCTGGCCTACATCCTGCAGGAATTACTTGCAGGTGACGCCGTCGGGGCATGTGGGCTTGTGGGTGGCCTCGTGGGCGGGCGGGGCGGGGAGGCGATCACAGGCCGTGGAAGAGCCACGCGGCGGGGCGGTGTTGACACTGTTGCCAGATCCGCCTCGCCGCCCGTGTAATGGGGTCATTAGTATCCCTGCCGACGGGGAAATGGATATTTGCTGTGTTTTTTCTTGTGTTTAAACGTTGATTAAAACTCGAGCTGTGGTGTATTTATTTTTCGCTTCTTTTCTTTTCTTTCTTATCTGGCGAAACGCGGTCTCCTTCCGCTGTTCTGTTCGACTGACGTACCGCCCCAATTTGCGGACTTGTTTTCTATGTATTAATTAGTTTGTCTTTTTATGCTTTCACATCAGGAGTTCACCGCAAAGCACAATCGTTACTTGAAAATTAGTAGATGCAGACAACTTAGCTAAAAGGAAAAATGACACTAAATTTGTTACAGCGCAGTTATTACAGTCATTAAAGCAAAAATTACTTTGCGGACAAAACTCAGCACGTGTTCAACTGTGCTTTTGTGGCTGTTGAATTGCATGTCTAATTGTGATATTTAAATGACATTAAAATATATATTTAAAAAAAATTGTGTTTATTCATCGTCATAATCATCATCATCAACGTTTCCTTGAGCACTGCGGTTTTATTTTACGATGTCCATTCCCTCGTACACTCTCTCTCATAGTAAATATATTTGTCTTTTCTCGACAGAGTTTCACCATACCAGTCAACATTCGGGTGACAGACGACAACGACAATGCTCCAATTTTCGTGAATGCTCCTTATTACGTGAATGTCTCAGAGGTGAGTATCGTGGGTGGAAGGCAATGATCTGGTCTGCCATGTGTTCTTCTTTTATTTTTTATTATTTTTTTTTATTTATTTTTATTTATTTTTTATTTATTTATTTTATTTATTTTATTTATTTATTTTTTTTTTTTGAGAGAGAGATTTTGATTAATAAAGTCTGGCAGCCAACTGTTTTGATGTTTGGAATACGGAGAAAGTATTATATAAAACAACGAGGGTAAGAACAGAATAACAGATAAAAAAATACATTCGTGTTTCCATGCTCTTCCCTTCGTTATTTTATTTATGTGTTAAGTATGAATCCTTCGCACAAGAAAGTAGAGTTTGTAAAAAAAAAATAATAAAAATAAAAAATAAAATAAATAAAAAGTCATAAAAATAAAAAATTAAAGTAGTAAAGAGATTGCACATGTCTCTCTCTGCGCAGGTGACTGTCATCGGGACAGTTATCGTCGGAGACATCTTGGCCGTCGACGATGACCAGCAGGGACCCTTTTCCACGGTGCAATACTCCATCCTGCCCGGACCTTACTCGGTAAGCATGCTAATCCTTGCAATATATATATATATATATATACGTTTTGCCGTCTTTTCAATATATGTACGGTTTGCCGAAACCTGACAATTATCGTGTCATTTGTGAAAAGGAATTTGATGTGATATAATGTCTGTAGCGCACCAGGTATATTTGCAACAGTGTAAAAGCAATTAGCAGAGGAAACTTGCGTCTGCACTGAGCGGTGATCCTGTGACTGACACGTTCTCTCCCGCAGGACATGTTCGCTTTCGAGTCCCCTCTGCGCGGCGCCCTTGTGCTCAAGCAGCCTCTCGACTACGAGCGTCTGCCGGTCTTCAATATCACCATCCTTGCCCAAGTAGGTTTTGTAGCCACTGGTTTGCATGACCAACATTTGTAACAATAACTTATACATTAAACCTTGAGAAAGAGTACTGTATGATGAAATGTTAGATTAACCTGTGATTGTATCATATGGTGAAACACCTATGGTGTCTAACTATTTTATATAATCATATTCATTATATTGATATAATTCATTATATGATATAAGTATTCATTATTCTTATTCAGTATATGATATAATCATATTCATTTTAATCATTTATTATATGATACAATAATATTCTTATGATACAATCATTTTCATTACCAAGGAAATCAAATTTACCACATAAATATAAACATTCTCATGATCTTATTTCCTTCCCAGGACCAGGCAGCTGAGGCTCGCAGCAGCAGCACTGTAGTCACCATACAGGTCCAAGATGCTGATGACCAGAATCCAGCCTTTGCCAGGGATCACTATATGGCTGTGATCCCAGACAACCCAGTTAAGGTCAGTCTCTCTGTGATCTAGTTACATAATTGTAAACTACAGTAGAAAACATGTTAAGCATTCTGTTGCAGTAGAGTAAATTTATCACAGACACAAGGTTCTCTGTCCCAAAGATAGTCTTGCCATAAAAAAATATTTAGTATTAAAATGTATTTATTGATGTGCATTATTATGATGATAATGATAGATGGACAACTTGATTTGATTACTTTATGTGTTCTAGTTGTCAATGTGGTTAAGGCTGAGGTAGGTATTTCTAAACTGAGATCTTAATACTAACCATCTTGCTGCAGGGTACACCCATTGAGGTGCAGCCAGAGACCGTCCGAGCTGTGGATAGGGATGCAGGTATCATGGCAGAGGTTACTTACTCCTTCAGTAGAGGTTAGTGTTATATACCTCCATGTTCATGAGTACTGTATTTTCCACACAACTAAATAACAGGTGTCATTTACTCAAAGTAAAACCTGGATTATATTTCATACTAGTAGAGCTAATGTGAGCATGCATATCTTTGTGAAGGCCTTTGAGACAGCACCAGTGTCATGTAAGTAAAATCTCTTAATTTCCTTTACAGATGAGGAAGCAGCAAGGTATTTCAAAATTGATCCCAAAACAGGAGAGGTCTCCCTCTCCATGAACGTGCCTGATGATCAGCTCCACCAGCCAGCCACACTTGTTGTCAGGGTATGTGATAATACTTATGGTTGTTACATCAGTCTTGATATTCATATGACTGTAGATATATTATTTCCAGTGGAAGATTAGATATGTTAATTTAACATGTTTTGTAGTAGTGCCATAAGTATGTATGTTTTTGTTATTATAAAATGCTATAATGAAATCTACACCTAGAAAGTATACAGAAAATACAGAACTTATAATGGAGAGCTAGTTATTGTATTCACATTCAGGATTGACAAACCAATGCCTAAGGACTTTACTAACATATTCCCTACTATTCTCAGGCTACACAAGTTGACAACCCTGATCGCTATGCCCTGACAACAGTGACCTTGTCCAGAAGGGGATACTATTCAACTCAGCTTCAGTTTGTCCAGCGAGATTATGTTGCAACAGTCTTGGAGAACTTACCTAAACACTCCCTCATTGCTCCTACTATAATAAATAAGAACCTTGATTCGGTATGTATAAGATCAAACTGAATTTAATTTAGAATGATGTTTTTAGTTAGAATGACATTTAAAAAGATGATTATGGAAAGATGATTGACATTTATGCATTATTATTGCAACTTACTCATTGTATGCATCTCTTGCAGAATATTCGTTTCAGCTTGGAAAGAAATGGTGACGGGGTATTTGGTATCTCATCATCAGGTCAAATCATTCTTGAGTTTGAACTTGACTATGAATTAAAGCAAGAATACAATCTGCGTATTTATGTCACAGATGGAGAGTTTGTAAGTAGAAGACATGATGTGTTGTGCTAGATGTGTGGAAACTATACCTGATATTTTATTTGCATGTTTTGTTTAAGACTAAATGTCTTTACATAACAATCCATAATTGTATCAATTTCTACAGAATGACACTGCAACATTGAGAGTTCAAGTTCTCAATGTCAACGACTGGGATCCACGATTCCGTTACCCACAGTACGAGTTCTATGTTACATCCACCACTCTCAGACCAGGAGATGCTGTGGGCACCATAGAAGTTGCAGATGGTGACCGTGGGGACCAAATCACTCTCACGGTTATGGGGGAGGATGCAAGGTAAATTGCATTCTCTATTGGAAAGAAAATCAAGTCTTAGATATTTTGTGATAATATGGAATAAGTCTTTCTTATCATTTTGTTGGTAGTCTTTATATAGCTACATATTATTTTGTGCAAAATTAATGTGTATTATTATTGTAGACCTTTGATTTTAAAATAAAGTTTGAAATGACCCTAAATATAAATATCAATGTAAAGTTTAAAAAGAAGAGTTTGCATTTGACAAAGTAAGAAAACTATATTGATTATTGTATATTCTCTTCCAGAATGTTTGCCATCTCAAGTGATGGAGAACTGAGAGTCAGAGACCTAACAACACTCAACTCTACAGAAGCCCACATTGTTATTCAGGCAAAGGACTCTGGATCTCCGCCAAGGATGGTAAGTTGAAAAGGATATATCTTTTGGTTAGGTCAGTACATATACCTTTCAAGTGGAGAATGACAGTATAGTGTCTAATCCTCCCTTAATATTTAAGTAAAGTAGAAAATGTAAAGATGTGAATATATTTGCTTAATCTCCCTTTCAGGCATCTGCCCCAGTGACTATCAATTTTCCTGCTGGTATGGTCAAGTCATCCCCCCTTGGTGCCACCTCAAGCTTCCTCCTCATGGTCATTTTTGGTGCTCTGCTCGGGGTCTTTGTCCTTGTTATCATCTGCCTCGCAATATACATCCACAAAAAGTAAGTTGTGAAGTGCGCCACTTGAAAATTATTGGCCTTTTTTCAAATCTTACAGCAGCTTGTTTATAAAGGTTTTAATTTGCTTTTTTATTTTGATCTAAATTTATTTTTACATTATGCGGTGGAAACAATATTTATTGTATGCAATGAAAATTAATAACTGTTCAAACTAGAACAGAATTCCCTAACTGCAGGATAGTACTAGTACTGATTGGTCCTTAAAATGTAAGACAACATAAATTCACGGCAAGCCAATAATTGTTATGGCTTACAAACACATACTATATACACACCATTAACAAATATTTGTCCTAAATCCCCAAAGAACTAGAATTCTACATCAACTCCTGGTTATCTGTAAAATGTACAAATGACAGTGGTAACCAGGAAATATTTCTTACAGCAAGAAATATGCAGATGATCCCAATGCAGCTCTGCCTACCAAAATGAGGAATGTAGGCTCTGTGTAAGTGCATTACTGCACAGTTTGTGAACATGACTAGCACAGTGGGGGCTACTTTTGCACTGGGAATACTTCTATATATGATGATTCTCTTATATTTCCATTCTAGCAGAATTAGAAGAAACAATTATTCTTATGACTGTAATCACCTGATTATCTTTTCCTTAATTATTTTGAAAGTTATAAAGTTATTGACCTATTGTCTTCTTTGGCTGCAAAACACTCATTTTAGAAATTAGTATATTTCTTTATTTGTATCAGCCTGCAGTTAGTAAAAAGAACATATTTATATATTCAGGACATCTTTGGGAGTTGGGGATTTCATCACTGCTATGACTTTGGTTGGAAATCTTAGCAGGTATGAAAGGAAGCTATATATCACTGATTTATGAAGATTGCCACATGCATGTCGACAAGGACTGATATGGTGCTTTTTTTTCACCCAATACCTTGTATAAACAAAATTACTTGGCTATGTGCAGTATTATTTTCAGCTGTATGTTTTAGAAACAAATATTTCTGGTCATTAAATCAGTAAGGTTTTCTGCAGTTTATTTTCTATACTGATATATATGTTTTTTCATATATCAGCATGTCATGTCATAACTTAGCAGTACTTTAAATCCACAAAAAAGATGAATACCCATGCATTCAGATCAGTAATTATTCTATTGTATGCTGAGTTTATAAGCTCAGTTGCACCTGAAGAAACAAATTATTATTGACAAGGATCTGTTTCTATAATTAGTCAGTGATATCATTAAGAATGATCCTGTTTGTGGGTTTGTGTGTGTGTGTGTGTGTTTATGTCATATCAGGTAGGTGTTTTTGCCTTGATATCTTGAGTGGGAATGAAACAGAGATTGCCATATTCTGATGTGGTTTGAAGCATGAGCAAACTTCGTTTTTGTTTTATGCTATATTAAAACATTCATTGAAGCCCCCAAATTATTTTTATAATGAAAATTATGATATCTGATGTTTATGTTTTAAGATGCAAAATTTTCTAATCTGGAAATGTCTTTAATCTAAATGATTGTCTTTAATATACTTTCTCGTCTCAGAAAAAGGTAAATTCTTTTGGAGCTTTTGTTAAAAGCACTTTGATGTCGCATGGATTTTTTCCCCATTTCTGCGATTAGTTCCACTTTTACAGAGAGCATTGGATGTTCCAGTCATATCCTTAACAACTTCTGTCACTCATCTAAAGTCAAGGATCCATTTTCTGCAAGACACCCCTCCTGCACACTAAACTCTCTCTTTAGAGTCTCATCACATATTACTTTCAACTTTCAACATTTAATTAGAAATGCAAAGATGAAAAGTAGTACAAACAATAGCATTAGAATATGCACATTTCTTACACTGTGTTTTCAAGGTTGATTTTGGAATGGAGTGTGATTTCTATCATCTATCATATTATTTGATTGGAGATAAAATCAGTGTGATTTGTAATGTTTTGAGATGTTTGATTTTTAGCTCAGTATGTGCCACTTTGTTTTATATGAGAGAAAACGGTACTTTTGCAACATAAATTGATGTGTATTTTGTCCCCGTGAAGTATTTTTGCATATTATAAACTTATTATAGAACAGCAAAGCAAAATCAACACAAAAAAATAGTAAACAAGAGTTGTTATAAGAATTATGAATTAAACATTTCCCCTTTTTTCCAAACAGTAAAAAATACCGAGATGACAATGATGCAGCATTGCCAACCAAGATGAGCCAGATTGTGACAAATAATGTTCCTCACACCAAACTGGACCCTCTCTCGCCTCTCAATCACCAGGTAATGAAATACCAGTTGTTAGATGCTTATCCTGTTGGCGAGTTTTGTATAAGAATGTACAGTTTTGTGTGCTGTCAAACAATTTTCTCATTCTTCTCTTTCCTCTTTCTCATTGACTTAGAAATGACAGGTCTTTAAATCCTAGTTTAATTATATACAGTGGCTGAAAAAAGAATCCAAGAATTTATTGCTAATTGCATAGTGAAATAGTTCTGGTTTCCATGTGAAGTGATTTTCATAACCTTGTAACTAGTATTCTCTAAGCATATATGGTAAAAAGAACCCAATTTTCTTCCAGATGCAAGGAAATGGGAGACAGATGACACCTATTGGCACTCCCATGCCAACTGGTGCATTGGCTGGAATTGAGGAACCAACGGCAAATGACCACGTCAATAACAATAATGCTCACACAAATAACAATAATTACGGAGGTGGTGGCAGTGTTAGAGCTAGCACAAGTAAGTATGAGTGACAGTTGAAAGTTAAGATTATGAAGGAAGTTAGATCTTGCTTTCACTGCTTAAGATAATTGAATAGCCTTGTTTTCATAATAAAATATTGTAATTTGATTTCATAATCTTTAGATTTTTATACCAAACTTTACATGCTTGAATGGTAAAGGTAATGCTCATATAATTAGTCAACTCTTTGTTGGATATTTGATTATAGTGAGCAACATGATATTATATCTATGTGATGTTCATTTGATAATTATTTCAAATTCTTTAGTTTCAGTTCGTTCAAATATTGGTGGTGGCTCTGCCCATGGAAGTCGCCGCTATCTGAAGAACCCCTTAGCCAATGGTTCTTTACCTGCAGCATCATCACACACTTCAGATCAACCACATGGAATTGACGGCCATTCTTTAAATGGGACTGTCAGATCCCACTCAACTACAGCTTCAACAGCTTCTTTAAATGATAGTCTAGACCCACAGATCAGGTAAGAAAAGCTGCACATCTGTTAGCTAAAGAAAAGCTTAAAATAAACCAAGAACGATAATCCTTAAACCATTAACATGTTGCTTATTATTCATAGTAGACTAAATTTATGTATTGCTTTCTGCTAAACTGGCATTGTTTGTAGTGATGGCAGAATGAACCCACTATTCACAAAATAATTTTGTTCAGTAGAGGGGAACATGAAAAAAAATGTGTATAGTGGGTTTTCTGCTGTCGTATGAACACAGTAGATTGTTTTGTCTATTTCCATGTCTTGTAATGTATGTGTGGCTTTTGCATTGCTTAGACATATTGCTTTGGTATTGCTTTCTAGACTTGTGATGTGATGTGGTAAAACTTTTTGTTTTAGATCCTCTACAGTGAGTATAGGAGGAAGGAGTTCTATTGGGATGAGGTAAGCTAGACGTTCAAGATATGGCACTGTGCAATGTTTTTTTTTCCTTTTTCTGTAACTTATTTTGAGGACATTGGAGAGTTTTAATTACTATAATTATGATTTATGTGTCTTAGATAAGAACTTAGGAATGGATGCATGCTTTCCTAAATAACTTTTCAAACATAATGCAAATAAGCTGAAAGATGACTGTAACAGGAATTTTAGAATAAGATGCAAAACAATAGCAATCAACACATTTATAGATTGGTTACATCCTGTTTCTATTAATTTCATAATAGTGAAAATTTTCAATAGAACACATGTTATTTGTGATGATGATGCAGTGTTGAAGTATCCAATGTTTTCAAATTCTGCTTAACATTAATTTTTGTATTTGGGCTATATTGATCTTTAATAGCTTAAGACATATATATATATATAGATAGATAGATTTTTTTTCTAGGAAAATACTTTCTGGGGTAAAAGTGATATATTTTAGTAGAAAATTACTTCAAATTCAATAAATTTACATTCAGGTAATATTAGAGTTTCTTGGAAAACAAACCATATGTAAAATGTTATCATAGAATATTATTATTATGAGATTTTTTAATACTTACACTGGCACCTGCAACATACTTTTAGACATATAGAAGTAGTGATATTTAACAAATTTAACCTCTGACTCTTACAATTAGTATTAATGTTTTCATTTTCATTTTACAGTCCATCTCCAATTGGGTCAGCCCGGGCACTAGGTGGCCTCCCCCACAGCAACAAAGTTGGTCCCGCACCCACTCCGCCCCCACCCCCAGCCAATACACCTTTCCCTGAACAGTCATCCCCGGGAGGCCTTTCCACTGTGTCGCTGGACTCGCTGCCTACCAAAATTGCGTGGCCTCATGGGTCCATTCCAAAGAGAGTAAAGAAATTATCATGGGAAGATGAACTCAGCAATAAGGTCAGTTGAAATTATGAAAGTGGTAAACTGTAGAATACTGAAAATGCATGAAAATTATTTTGATAATCAGGATTTATAAATTCATAGGAAAATAAGCTGGGAACTATCAGTATTGTTAGAGAATTTTCTTAGGAATTACAATATACCTTTAGATTATTTTGGGGAAATACTTGTATTTAAACAAAGAATCTTGAATTTTTCAGACGGAGTTGGATCCTGAAGTCAGTGTTACTCCAATGCCTCAGTCATCCGTCACGGACACTCCAAATCTCACCGTTTACTTCTAAGACTGTACATGAAGTCACCTCTTTTGAATGTCTTCCTGAGGGCCTGATGCAAAGGCCTCTCAATCTGATAATCTGTGTGTTATGGTCTTGAATGTAATATAATCTGTGTTATGGACCTAAATGTTATATAATCTGTGTGTTATGGACCTGAATGTTATATGTGCATTTAGGGAGCCCAGTGATATGGACCCACCAGTGTCAGCTCCAGCAGAAACACTTAACGAGCCTGTAATTGTTGCCTTACAAGGTTGTATAAGTGGAATAAGTTTACTAGAATGATGGACTAGTCGTGTCAGAAATAGACAGATTATATATGCTGGTGCATTATAAGTGCATTTTATTTTCAGATAACTTGAAAACTCAGAATCAGATAAATATTATTTGTCATACCAGGAAACATGGTGGTGTGTTATTCATAAAAAATGCCAGTGAATTAATTTTTGACCAAGATGATATATGGTCAAAGGAAAGCTTACATAGAAAATGTGGCTATATATGAGAAAAACATTTTATCAAATAATTATTATGAGACAGGACTCTGTTTTGTAAATGCATGAAAAAAACACAATAAGTTTGGCTATGGACCTAAATACTTGAAAGTGATGAGTATCATCATTTTGAATAGTTCCTGGCAATCCTAGGGTTGCAATTTGCTCCTTAAGCCATGTGTTAAATGTATAATTTACTAATGCCTGCAACTTTTTTGTGTCATGTATGATTTTCATGCACCATGTTTTCTATGCTGCCATCCATTCCAATGTTTTGTAAACTAGCAGTAAATCTGCTTTTGCATCCTGTATGTTGTCTTCTGAAATTAGAGAATTCACCAGTGCAGCTGATTGTAGTCTGTGTATTTGTGGTTTTGCATCACATATGTTCAGCAGTTTTTAAATGACAGCATTGTTGGTAATTCTTTATTACTCTTAAACATGGCTGATTTCTTGTAATCAAGAACATGCTACAGGGCTTTTCATACTGTGCATCTGTTTTTATAAAAGTATAACTTCCTTTTTTTAATCCAAGGGGCCAAACCATCTCAGAATCCCTACTTGTTGCACATATTTCAGCAGGTATAATTGTATAGTACACTAACTTCATGCTTGTGAAAAGTCTTTGAATTGCATTGTAGATGTGCACAAGAGATATTTAGTATTACCTCTTTCTTGCCATTTCAGTTCTTACTACAAATATTTGAAAGTACTATCCTAGTGCTACATAGGTATATGTATATATACAGTACACACTTCTCCAGTCAGCCTTTATGTGATATAGTAAGAAACACTGTGAAACACTGACTGTGGAAAAAATGTCTGCATTTTGATTCACTGTGAGATATAAGGATTATCAAGGCTTTTTTGCTGTCTTCAGAAAAAAAACATAGCTGTATTGCTTATATTCAAGAAAACCTCTTATTCTTTGATAACAATAGAACCTCCTATTTTTTCATAGAGACCATAAAGTCAACTTTGGCAATATACCTGAATAAAAGTAATGATGGAAGTTCAAATGAAGTGCATTCCCATATAATGTTGGTGTTTTTACATCCATTTCATGAAGCACTGTTAAGCATTATTCTTGCAAAGTGCAAATAACTCACCAGTGTGATAATAGGGTAACTAGTAGCCTAGTAACAATATTTCTTGTGGATACATAAAAATAACCAAGTTTATATTTGACAAGGTTTGGTTTGTGATGTTTTACCAATCTTGAGCAGGGTGTCATTGTGTTGGGTTTCATGAACCATTTCCTCTGTGTGTTAATATGTCGCAAAGGTCACAGAGATGTTGCTATTTTTCAATACATAGTCTAATATGTGTTCCACTATGAAAGAACAAGATTATCCACGTGAAAGTCAAGTAATGTATTGGTATGCTTTCTGTCAAAATGATGTTGGTCATTGCTGGCTTTGCAGTTGCAGTCTCAGGTCCACACCCACCCACCCTCCTAGTTACATCAATTTTGACTGGGCTGGGGTCAAGGCAGAAAGGAATCAGCCACCCTACCACATTGTTCCACTGTACAGTATACGTTCCTTTATGGACATAATCCCAAACATCCATTTTGATATGGGACCAACTTTTTTGGTATTAATGTCTATAAAGTTACACATTGTGGTATACTGTACTGAGAATTTATGCTTTATTTTCTGGTTTTGTTTGTCTTTACATCAATACTTTGAAGAACCAGTGAAATTTGTGTGATCTATAAAAACTGACTGTGGTTAATTACATTCAGAAAGAATGTTTTTTGTATTTGGATGCATTTTTTGTGAAAAAAAACATCATATATATAATACTCCTAATGTCAACAAATTTGATTATATGTATGCATAGACTTGCTTAGTCTTAACTGAGTGTTGAAGGACTCAAAAGTTCAGGCCTTATTATCATGTCTCTTACTGATTATTGCCAATATGGGTGCCTGTACTCTATCACTCTTTGTGGTTTCAGAAGGACGTATTACATAAACTGGCCATTGCCCATACCCATACATTAAGTGAATTTCATCCCCTAATTCCAAGCACTGGCTTCCTTCCTTAATTGGTGTGGATTTATGAGCCAGGGAAGAATGCCAGGCAAGTGATTTGCCAGCAGTCTTTTTTCTTTACATTTACTTCATCTCGTATATTACTTCTGTTTGTGATATTATCTGCATTTGCCATAAGAAGGTCAGAGCTATTCAGCCATTTAATTGTCTGCATTTTTCATAAAGAGTTTGTTATTCACCAGCATGGTTTTTAGTCAGACCTTCATCAGATTTGAAGTGAACATTGTTATTCTTAAAATGAAACAGTCATGATAAGAAAGGAGCAGTAAATCTTGACATCTTGTGTCAGGCGTTAAAACTAACATTTTGTTGTCTGTTGAGGACTTCACTCTGACTCATTACACCATAGTCTATTTCTTGTGGCTGTTTTTCATGTCAACTTTGTACACATGTCACTGTTTTTGTATTTTGTTCACTTTTATTGTCTTTTGGCTCTCATCATCAATTTTTTTCCACAATATTCATATACTCAAGTTGAGCGTGTGTATCTTTGAATAATGAATTATATTAATAAAATACAGCTACAGGTGCTTCCTTTAAGAGACCAAAACCTAGAGTAACATATAGACATATGGTAGATCTTTTGTATATACATATAAATATATATATAAGGAAAAAAGCTATAAATAGACTGCAAATGGTTGGCTATGTGCAATCTATTTTTGTATATATGATTATTTTATGTCTAGTGATGAAATATTCTTCCACTGTAATTTATTAACATGCCTCTATTATGCCTGAATGAAAATATTGTATGGATATGTTAGTAATAAAATGTGTAATTATGTTTGCTTTGTTTTACTGGAAGCTACAACCACGCCTTTTTACTATGGCACAATAGAGAAAACCAAACGGAAATTCTAAATGTTAGCCTATTTCTATGAGACCTTCCTTCCCTAATATGAGTAGCTTTCTCCGAAGTCTTTGATGTTCGTCAGTACAAAGCTAATCACAAGAATGGTGTTGGTGATCACCAAAACACTGCATGTTATACTAGAAAAACAATACTTGTGAGTGAGAAATGCTGTGGGAGTCATTGTATGGGGGGAAAGGTATAGAATCTTCACTTTGTCACACAAAATCTGAGGCAGTTAACATTGGCTAGTGAAATGTATATGTAAATGACATTGTTAATTCTTCCAGTCTCCTGCTATGCTTAATTTTTGTTCAAATACTTTAACGTCCTCCAAAGCCAAAATGTTAGCCACGCCCCTTAACTATCCACGTTGGAATATGTACATTTGGAGACATTCCCGCCATATCCATCTTACCCGGACATAAAATGGCACAAAGGACTCAACACCCATGGCCGTAAGCTTAAAGAAATTGTATAACGCAGATCATTCTTCTTATGCTAGAATCTTCACGATTGTATAAAGTCTTAACGTAATTTTAGGACTGTCACTTTCAAAATTACAATGTTTTTACCCTTTTGCGTTATTTATGTATAGTTGTCTTTTCTGTATTATTCCTTAGTAGAGGATTATGTGCATCAAAGAGTGGATTCCACAATTTCTTTAAGAATACGACCGTCAAACTCAAGTTTTCACGCACCGGCTCATATCTCTGTGACTTCGATGCAGATAATATTATTCATTAAGCAGATCGTGATGCATGTAAGTATATGGAATACGATGAAACTGATCTAAGGGTGAAGTTAATTTTCCTCTCTTTAGGAAGGAAAGTATGAAAACAATTTTAAAATATCCACTCCCATTCATTCTACCGTACAATACTCAATATCCTTACTTTCTAAAAATCGACAAGTTCCTAGTGAATTTCCCCGCCTTTATAAAATGCTGTAGCCATAAAGTACCTGGATAGAGATATGGAAATAATTAAAACGAAGCAGCATTACATAAATTCTTGTTTTCTCCTCATTATCAAGGATAAAATGCAGAGAAAGCTCTGATAATATTTACATTTTTTCCATAGAGAGGTAGAAAATTCTAGCATTAGCCAGAGAACAACATATATCAAAGATTTCCATCGGTAAACTCTATATCAGTGATGAGGAAACAGAATGATTTTTTCTCAGACACTAGATTCTAGTCGCTTAATGAACTTAATTCAGGTATTCATTGTACTTTTAATTTTAATAACCGTTTCCTAAGCATTATTCGAAAAAATAATATACACATAACGCAATAATACACACATATACGTCTATATATAAATTTTATTTCTCCGTCTACACAGTGAATGTGGAAAACAACATGCATTGAAGTTTTATATAGACAGGGTCCCTAGATAAGATGCGTTGCTCACCCTTACGTGTGAAATTACGCTAATCAGTCATGGGTGAAAGAGATCGGTTATTATTCGGTGCCAAAGATGATGCCCCAGTAGATGCAGTTGAAGAGGATGATGACCATGGGAATCAGGTAAGTCCTCGCCATTATGATGATTCTGTCAGCAAAGGGAGAGCTAGGACGCGCGCTCATCTTGTTCCTCCGCACCGACAAGGGATAGTCGAGTGTCACCTGGTGGAGGAAAATACCGTTATAATAAAGATAAAAATAATGAGGTTGATGACGATGACAATGTTAATGATAACGATAATACGATTACAATGAATAATGATATAAAGATAACAACAATAATGATAACAACAATAACTAATAATAATAACAAAACAATAATGATAATGATGGTCAAACTAGAGATCAACGCAGGCTACATTGTAAAGCGAATTTTGTATTCCCATTCTACATGGAGTAACACCATAAAAGTAAAGAGAAAAATAAGTGTGTATAATAGTATTAATAAAACTGACCGCATGACTTATTACTGCTATGTCAACAAGTTCATGTGTTACTACGTATGCATGTCTCTGCATTTCACGTATTATCTTAATAGCATCGTGTATTTTATTCATTTTTTTAGAATAACCTACGCAAGCGCGTTTTCGTAACCGGAGTTTTCGACTGTTATGCGAACCATCAGTCACTCGTTGGCAAGCGTCGGCGAGAAAAAGTATTGTTTACAATTCCGTGTCATTACGGACCATTTTAAAAATAATATCGTGACCATGCAGAAGAAATGGAATTTAGTATCCTTCATAGTGTAAAATCGGTGCCTATCAAGTGTCCCAATTATCGAAAAAGTTAAATAGTGTTCTAAGCAATGCAGATAATTGGAATAAAGGACGGAATCAAGGAAAACATGGTGATTGTACAGTACGGAGGTACGTGGTTTTCTGGACAAATTATATGGAGAGAAAGAAATATTACTGTCACTCATGTGAAGGGAAATGTTGAGTTTCAATTTGTTGCAACGTAATTGCATATTTCATCCGCTTAGGGTTCGCTATACTGGGGGTCCAATCAGCAGAGCCCCCTTGCAGTGATTAGGTAGGGTATGTGGTAAGGTCGAAGTCCCAGGGCTAGGGATTATATGGCATGAACGATAAGGTCGTATTTTGTAGGAACAACGAGGCAATATCAGGCAGTGTCTACGGAAAGTGTTAGGAGTTTCGGGATGCTACAGAAACTCCTTATGTGTGTGTGTAAATATATGTATACACTATATTATATATGTGTGCGCACACGCACACACGCACACGCACACGCACACGCACACGCACGCACGCACACGCACACACACACGCACACACACACGCACACACACACACACACGCACACAACACGCACACACACGCACACACACACGCACACACACACACACACACACACACACACACACACACACACACACACACACACACACACACACACACACACACACACACACACACACACACACACACACACACACACACACACACACACACACACACACACACACACACATCATATATAGCCAAGATTGGCCAACCACCGAAATTGACAGTTCTTGCTTCTATATGTGCTAGAAAGGTCAATGTTATCAGTGCATTAGGGACGCCACACGAACATAATTTCCTTAACCAAAGGCATCGATTAATCCCTACATCCCGACATGTGACTTATTACCTCAAATGGTTGTATTTTGAGTATAGTAACTGAAAGCTTAAGGTAGACCAGTGTTACCTTGTTAATAGTCAATATGGCATTTTCATTATGCAAGTAAAAGAGTTTGCAGAATATAGAAAGGGAAAAATAATAGATTTAAGCCATATGATGGTCGAAAGACTTCAAAATTTGAGTTGGGAAGAGTGGTTTAACCGTCAATAACGGGTTTATTATTTAATCGGCAAGAAAATCAATTCTTGGAAGCACTGATGCTGTAATTTTTTTTCGTTTTGTAAAAGTGGTTAAATGGTTCTTAAAAGCGTAGATCAGTACACCATAGTTTGATTTATCATAAAAAATCTATGTATTATTATTTGCTGAATTTTGATAAACGGAGATAACATTCAAATGCGTTTATCATTGTAATAAACTTTTATGGAATTGGCCCTACTTGTTCTCGGCGCTATATATATAATAATAATAGATAATAATATATATATATATATATATATATATATATATATATATATATATATATATATATATATATATATTCAGATTATTTTATTCATAGTCATAATAATCTACTCAAATGAATATACAGCATATAACCTATCTTCACCTCTACGATACTATACAGCCAATTTTGAGATGATGCTGACTAGTTATCCATCAAGACATTACCTCATAACTAATCCGCTATTCCCCAAAATGCAACCACTCACCCCTGCCATGTTCACCAGATGCTCCGCGATGACGTGGATGACGATGACGAAGAAGAGCAGGAAGATACAGAAGAAGAACCAGACGTCGATCATCTTGACGTAGGCGGTGGCCGGGAGAGCCTCCGAGGCGTTCCCGTAGAGCGTGTAGAGCACCAGCAGCGTCGTCAGGCTCACGGCCATGCGGACCTGCAGGGGCGTCAGGAAGCGGTGGAGTGGAAGAGTGGAGTGAGGAGTGGAGGACAGTGAGTAAGTTAGACACGGGCAGGGTGTACACGGTAGAGGGAAAAAAAAGAGTGGCGTTTCGAACTCCGGAGTTATAATCGAAGTGGGTTTGTTTTTCTTGTTTTTAAAGTCTGATGAGGACATCTTGGTATAGAAACGTCACTTTTTTTTAACCTCCGCCAAGTAGGTTTTTTGGTAGCGTTTAGTTTTTAGTAGCGTTGTTTAGTTTGTATGTTTGTTTTTTTTATGATTTTTTTAGATGTGTGTCTCAGCCCAACTTAGATGCCATTGAATATTGGTGGGGATCCAGACCATGATCCGGATCCAGGAATTTTGAATGTAAATTTTCGAATGTGAATATTTTTATTGCATCAGTGACCTCCGCTGTCTAGTATTCCGTTTATGAATATGACAGTGTTTAATTGTATCCCATTGTACACGTTACTTTGTGTCTGTGCACAATTTATGTATATATAAGTAAGACAAGGTATGTATGTGCGGAGATAGAAGTGCGTATGAATAGCAAAAAGCATGTTGTATTAATCATTTATGCTCATGGGAAATTTTCATTTCGTATTATTAAATAGCCATGGATTTGATGATTGGTATTTCATAAACTCACATCCATCAGAGAAATATTGACATAGAGCGTGGTGTAGCCCACTAACTGTAACATGGTTGTAGGCAAGTACACTGACAGGAAAATCATCGTCCATCTTCGCTTCAGTTCGAATTCCACCTGAAATAAACAAATTGCATCAACAAAAGCGACCTTACTATCTAAATATAAAATGAATGATTTGTGACGAAAAAATACCTCGCCAGCAAAATCTGTAATGAATGATATGTGAAGCAAAAGTTTACCACGTCAGCAAAGTCTATATTGA